TTTTGAGAACATGTTACGCTTACTTGATATCTCTTAAAGTGTACGTATGTGAAGAACCTTGAAAAAATAATAAAATTCATTTGAGCAACAAAAATACATGATGAAAAATACATTTATTTTTTAATGTATACATGTACACTGATAGTTTGATAGAAAACTTTATGAATCCGTTTGATATTATCAGTGGAAGTTTTGCTGCTGCATCACTGATGACAGAGATTTTACATCAGGTTTATATTTCATGACCTTCAGAGATATGCACGAGCTACTACTTTCATCCGTCAGGCTACTCCTATTATGAGACTTAACAAAATTCATCACTGAGAACAAAGATTCACAATTGTAAATGGAATATTATAAGAGAGGATTTCATATGCCAGCAAAAGTTAATTGCGTGCCATGTTTGGCACGAGTGCCAGGGGTTGCCCACCACTGCCCTATGCATTTTACATCTAAGTACATCTTGCATCTTAAGACTCTGTCTCTGTAGAAGTCCCTGAGAACTCTCTCTGAATCTCTTATATTTATTTTATTATGAAATCTTTGCTTCCTATAGAATCCACTCTGAACTTCCAAAATAGTAAAATAGAATCCATTAACATTGAACTAAAAATATAGCTTTTCTAACACAATATTGCTGGGAGACAAAGTAAAAAAGAAGGTAATTTCTCTGTTTTTAATCTAATGAAGAAAACAATATAAATACTATAACCTTCACTTTAGAAACAAGGTAGAAGTGTAGAGTTACAACGAAACACCTTGTAGGATATGTTGACACATATAATAGAAAATTACAATCCTCTACATGCATTTTATTACTGAATATTATTGTCATATCAAAAAATGACTTTTTATCATTTTAAATTATACCATTTTCAGACTTAAACATCTTAAGTCTCTCTTCCCAACTGCTTCTTTATTCATATTTTATTTGGTCTTAGAAAAAAATAGTGCTATGGATGATGCTTCATTCATGATATAAATAATTATCAAGTCTTGAAATAACTTATGATTTCCTACAAGATAACATCCATCATTACAAACTAAGGATGTTTTATACTCACACAGAAACACACATCAGATAAGTAAAAATTCTCCAATTTACTCCCCAAATTTGTTCTTGTGAAACGTGGGGAGAAAAGACAGGCAGATTTTGAATTCAGGAGCCTTGCCTTTTAGTTTATCTAATTAACTTTATAATTAACTTTATAACATGAATTCAGTCACTTAATCTTTTTTACTTTCTAATCCTCTTTCATAAAATGAGAGAGTTAAATTAATGGGTTTCAAGGGTCTTTCAAAAATCTTAAGATTATTTAAGAAAGTAGATCACATGTCTTGTTCTACTCTGACCTTCATTGCCATATGAGAAAGAGAAAAGCTTTACAATTTTCATTTTTAGAAATATTCATCCACATTTTATGGGCTACATTATAAAAATAAAATTTGTATTATACAGGTGCTCAGTTTTATGCATTGAATACTAGCTATAAAAAGTACATATAAAATGTTCACATAAAACATTATTTATCTAGTGACTGTCCTGTTTTAATATGTACTTACCTGATGCTGTTGAGTTACTACTGCATATTAACACATTATTGATACCATGTTATTGTAAATCCTATTATCTAGTTTTCAGAAAGCTAACTCTGACACTGTGCTGGCATTAGGGATAAAAAGGAGATAGCATCTTACAAAGCAAGAACCCTCAAATAGGTCAATGCTTATTTAAACACATTGTAGGGAAGTACCAGTATTTCACAGATGGAAAATGCAAGACCTTGAAAAATGCAAGACTTGGAAATATGATCTTCCTCAAATAACCCTAAGATCACAGTCTAAAGGGGTAAAAACATAATGACTTCTTCTAGTATTTGAGTTATTGTGGAAAGGAGGAGCGGAAGCAAAGGAGTAAAGGCAGATGAAGGTGACAGTCATATTGGACCACAGAGACTCTTTGTTCTAGGGTCTAAGGTCTTTGTATTTTGCATTTTTTTAGTTTCTTCTCTATGACAGGTACACAGGCCTCATCTGAGTTGGAGGTCCTTGCTGTAGTATTGGGGATGTAAAGAATTTAGCCTTCCAATGGGAAAGTTGTCAAAGGGGGAAGAATAAGGAAATACACAAAGTATAGTAAGTTTAGTGTAAAAGATACTTTCCCAAAGTGGAAAGAGATTCATATTCTGGTAAATATTTTTGTAAAGTATTCCAGATCAGTAAGCTGAACCTTTAAGCAGGAAGGATCTCACTTTTTGAAAGTCAGCTTTGAATTTGGAGTACAGGTGAGTTCTAAGTTTTTTTCTTTTTAAAAGGGAATCTTTCACCTATAGGGTTATTGAGGAGAGCTTTAGGCAGTTTGTAGAGAAAACCTTGGGCTACTAATTTAGAAAGAAGTTGAGCCTGCTTGTTTTACTTGCCAAGAGCTTCTGGAACAGTGGTCTCCGAAACTGAGTGTGTGTGTGTAGAGCCTTGTATATCTATGGAAAATGTAGATTCTTATGCCCCACACCAAGTGATTTTCATTCCAAAGGTCCAATCCCTAAGACTCATCACACTCTATTCTGGGGAGTGGGGAGGGAATACCAGGCCTGTAGGTATTTAATCTAGAAAAGTGAAAGAATGCAATTAAAACCTCTAAAATATGACGACTAAGGTAAGTACAAGCTTATTTACCCCATTACATAAAGTACAGTTTGAAAGCTTGTTTTGAAAATTTATCCATAATAACTGATAAATATGTTTTTACAGGTATTACATATCCTATATAATAAAGAGCTAATATGCAAATGGATGCCACACCCTTGTGCCCTCGTGCTGGGGCCAGGGAACCTGAGGCCACGCCCCCTGCCCAGCGGGGCTTGTTGGGGGACCTAAGGCCGCACCCCCCCCACCCAGCGCCAGGCTGGGGGACCTGAGGTTGTGCCCCCTGCCCTGCAGGGCTTGACGGGGGTAGGGCTGGCTGGGTCTGGGTCTCGTGCAATTTCGAGGCACACGTGGGTGGGTGGGAATTTGACTCTGGGTCCCACGGCACACCCCAGACTCTGACAGGAGGGAGATTTTCATATACATTTTACTAATTTTCTTTCATCTCTGACATTTCTATTATAGAGAAAGGGCAAATAGCAATATTAAAATATTTTCTCTAATTCCCTTTTAATATGCACAAATTTTGTACACCAGGCCACTAGTACATATATAAACATATGCATGCATACACACAAGTGAACACACCAATATAAATATGTAATATTATGTAATCCTTATGCTAACTTTAGATATTATTATTCTCATTTCACAGGCTTGGTTGTTAAAATATTTTGAAGTGAAATGAAATTAGAATTTGATTAAAGTGATAAAATCAGAGGCAAAAATTAATACAGATAGTTTAATTATAAAAATCTAAAAGATTTTAGTTTTAATTTAAAATGTGATTGCTTTATATTGCAGTAAACATAAGTATGATTTTTTTTAAAGTCACTGCAGTTTTTCAAAAGTTCTTAATGTTCTATAGGTATGTAGAAACTATTTAGATTTAGGCATAATACACTTCGACAAGCTATAAAAAACATATTTAGTGCCCATGATCTGTGTTTATCTTAAAAGCTTTTCAAAAAGTAGACTATCTATATATATAAAAGCCTAAGCGAACATTAAGGTGGAATGATTGGAACAACTAGAATGACCGATCACTATGATGCACACTGAACAGGCAGGCAGGTGAGTGATTAGGTGTGAGCAGGCCAGCAGGAGAGCGTTTAGGGGCAAACAGTCCTGGATTGTGAGAGGGATGTCCAACTGCCGGATGTCCAACTGCAGGGATCAGGCCTAAACTGGTAGTTGAACATCCCCTTAGGGATCCCGAATTTCGAGAGGGCGCAGGCTGTGCTGAGGGACACTCCCCCGCCCCCGCACAAATTTTGTGCACTGGGCCTCTAGTTTTATTATAATAATCTTGGAAAAAAATGTTCTGGTGACCATGTCTTTTAATTGAAGCATTTAATAAAAAGAGCTTTGATCTGATTTTAAAAAATTCGAGCCCCCAAAATAAAAATTATATGTGTTTTGAACAATAATTCATGATATTGTTACAATAAGGTTAAAGCATACAACTCAAGCAGTACTGGAGTCCTTCAACATTGAAGACTAGTTTTGTAAATTCCCAGGTCTCATTAATACACTTTAGCCAGTATTTCATCTGAACAGACCTTGAACAACTTGCTTCTTTAGCTTTTGCTGTGTAAAGAAATTTCAGTGTTGTCAAAAGTATTGATTCTGTCAATTTAATATTTTTGTTCTTGTAATAATAGATTATCTTCTTATCCTCCAAAAATCCCCCATCAATGGAAGGTTTTAATGAAATCTAATTTTAACTGTTTGCATTATACTCCTTAAAGATTTAAAAATGTTATTGTGTTTGCAACTATTTTCTGCAACGATCACTGTATGATCCTGAATCTTTACATGCATTTACATTAAGTCATTGATGTGAGCAACCAAACTAATAAAACACAGACCCTATTTTGTTTTGTGTGTTATTTTAATCAATACATCCTCTCCTGGTTTAATAGGAAGTGAGCCCCAAGGACTGCTCATATTAGCAGATATTTACAGAATGTGCTTTTTTTTTTTTTTTTTTTTTTTTTTTTTTTTTTTTTTGCTATTAAAGAGGCATTACAAAATAATGTCAGAGGTTAAAGCAATATCAGTTATTCGCCTTCTTTGGACCACTATTTCATTTTAATTCACACTATCAATATAAGTGGGGGGGGGGGCAGTACCTGAGGCATTTCCTTTCATCTTAATAAGATAATTTCATAAAAACTTTACATTTTTGTCATAGCTTTTATTATCCTGCCCTTTGATTCTGAATTATATCCTTATTTTCTACAAAAAATTCTAATTTTCTCTCTTGTAAACCCCACAACAGAATACCAGATGTAGTCTGTCATTAAATGTGTAGAATTTTACCCATCTTGCTGGCTTCTCTTTCTCTGCAGGCACTCCATCTGCACCGTGTACATTGAAGTGCTTCCTCCAAACAATCAAAGCCCTCCCCGCTTCCCACAGATGATGTACAGCCTAGAAGTCAGTGAGGCCATGAGGATTGGTGCTGTTTTATTAAATCTACAGGTATGTTCTTAATATATATATACATATATACAAGTATATATGTGTATGTATTTCCACAGCGACAACCTTGAAGACTAATGGACTTATATTTGTGCCTGGCGGGGGGCGGGGGGCGGGGGGTAGGAGCTCACATGTCTGCATACACTTGAGTCAATGAAAATTCCATCTGGAAAGGAAAGCAGGGGTACTATGGTTGGAGGGTTTCCACAGCAAATCTATTCTATTGATTGCCACAATTGAAGAAATAATGTGAGCTGGCAGGGATTAGCTGCAATCATTACAAGAGAGAATGAAGGGAGTGGAAACAGGCACTTGAATATATTTTACGTTGCAACCAAAGAGTCTGCAGCTGACTGTTATTTTCTGTCTCGGCTTTCTTTGCCCTAGCAGGATTTATTTTCGCTGCAGTGTTCTATGGAGAGAATAACTTTAGGTGCACAGGCTGATGGTAGGCAGTCTAGTTCTGAGGCACACTTCATTCTATGCCATAGAATCTATGGCCGTGGGCAAATCATGTAATGGCTGTGCCTTGGTTTATTTATTTAGATGAAGGGGGCAGGTTTAGCTGATATGTTCATTTGCAGCTTCTGATTCATATGGATTACTTGCAGGATGATAGTTTGGTTTTCACTTTGTATATATTCCTAACTAAAGCATATTTGCCCAGAGAAGGCCGTGTCTTCAACTGAATCGATAGCTTCAAGTTGGACTACATATGGTATTGGTAACTGTCACTTGCTGTAAAAGTCATAAGGTCCATGACATGACTTACTGCTTTACCTATAGATATTCATAGGACAGAGAATTTATCTTCCTCTGGAGTTACGTGGGAATGACAGGAGTTGCTGACATGAGAATTCAGGAAGCTGACCTTGAAGGTTAGGAGAGCTTTTAATAGGATGATTTCAGAAAATCCCAGGATCAATGTTTACCATCAAATGAGTTGACATAAGGCATAGCTATAAATTGTTCAAATTCCATTTGAATATTGACATCATTTCCCTGATGATGGAAAAGTGAAGGTTCTAAAGGATGTTTGTATTGGAAAGAATGTAAAAATAATGAAACACAGCAACCTCATTATCCAGATGTGGAAAGTGAACCCCATAGAGAGTAAATGACACCTAAGAAGAGTTGATTGAATTCTCATCATTCCCAAAATACAGCTCATTCCATTATATCCCACTTATTTTTGAGGCTGCTAAAAATTTGGTTGGCATTTTCAGATACTTTCCTGTGCCTCTGTTCTAGGACCTATTGTGTCTCTTTTCTCTAGTAACTAGAAAGGGTTTGCTTTTGGTATTCATTTACTATTAAAACATGTGGAAAACAAAATTATATGAAAGTAGACTTATTAGTAATATAGAAATTTGGAGGATTTTAATGGATAAAATAAAAGTAAGAAAAAAATTGCAGTTTCTTTAGGAAGGGGGAAAACAGCTAGTTAAATCATTAAAATGTTGCCCTAACCAGTTTGGCTTAGTGGATAGAGCGTCGGCCTGTGGACTGAAGGGTCCCAAATTCGATTCCAGTCAAGGGCATGTACCTTGGTTGCGGGCACATCCCCAGTAGGGGTGTGCAGGAGGCAGCTGATCAATGTTTCTAACTCTCTATCCCTCTCCCTTCCATTCTGTAAAAAATAATATATATATAT